TCACTGACTGACTGGCTGGCCCACTCGGTCGTGTAGATCCGTCTGTATGTAATTCGACCACATCGACTGACTGCATCGGGTGAATGCCATTCTTTTCCCATTTGTGCGCATCTTCGGTGCGGCCACATGACATTGGCCCACCGATCCGGTCCACTCGTGTGGCTGCTTTGACCCCTCGGACACTGACAGACAGATACGCGCCAGACTGACAGAGAGAGAGAGAGTTTCTGTAAGTGTTGCGTTGCGATGGGAGTGTGTCGTTTACTGGCCGTATGTGTGGTGTATGGCATTGCCATTCAGGCAGTGCCCCACCCACGCGTCACTGCATTGGACGGCAGGCCGCTTCGTCCATTCAACCATACACACACATGATACCTATGGGTGTGTTGGAGAGCGGGATACATACACACCAGCTGTGTGTGGGTCGGGCCGTCTGGATGTCATGCCTCTTTTTCCACTACGCTGATGAGTCGCTGATGTGCTGCCAATGGCTTAGATGGACGGATAGGTGGGCGGGCGGATGACGGGCGCCTCGCTGTGTCATCGGACAGACAGACAGACAGACAGACAGGTATCTCCCTCTCAGTGTGTTCCATCCTTCCAAGACACACCATGTCGCCCATTGTACTCTGTGCTGTCTTCATTGTGTTAGCGTGACTTGCCAGACCTCCGCCGTGCTGACCGCACTGCATGGCGCTATGCATACGTGCCGATACTTGACGCCACCGCACTCACACACCCACTCACCCCAGCCGAGTGTGCTGATGGCGAAGGGGACTCATTGCCTTCGTCTTTTTGCCTCGCGGACCGGTCACGGCGGCCGTCAAGAGGCCGCCCAGCCCCTCGGGCAGCCCATCAGGCCCTCGGCAGCGGCCGCAGAAGCCGATCGAGTGAGGATCGAACGGCTGATTTTCTCAACAGTGGCAAATTCGTTTTCTGATTTTATCGGCTGAGTTCCTTCAGTGCGTCGCCTCGTACACATTCAGAGAGGAAAATTGGCTGGGCAAAGCCGAGAAAGCGATTTTCGCCCTGGTTCCTTGAGCTTGCAAAGCTCGGAGATCACCTTCCTGTTTTCTTGGCTACTGGCGAAGGATGCGTCGCACTCGAAGGACTTAAGTGCCAAAGGTGAGATGAGATGTGTGAGGTGGATGTGAGAAAGCAGCGAGGGCCTTCAGCACCGAAAGCAATAACGCTTGTCGTGGCCACTCTGCTATCTGTTCTGTTCCTTTCAGCTCATGGCAGCATCGATCGCATCTCAGTGACTGACGGCGGGAGGTACAAAGGGAGGCGGGAGCATCGCATCACGGTAGTGATCAAGGCACTGAGCAGCAATGGCTGAGCAGGTGAACCTCCACGCCACTCAAACTGATAGTTTGTCGCATGATTGAGGGTTGGTCGATGCTGACGCAGTTCATTTCATGAGAGACCGGCAGACTCTGCCTGCCGTTGCGCTATGAGTTAACGTATGTCATACAAACTGATAGTGTGCCACGCAGCCCACTTTCCTCCTGGCGATCGATGTGTCGTTTCATCAGTGCGCCCAGGAAGCCTTTTTCTCCATCTCGATGCCGCAAAGGATCTGCATCTGACGATCCCTTGCCAATCGCTGATTACACAGCTGCGAGAGCCTTTCACACCAGCATGATGCAGAGCTGATTCCAATTTCGACGAGGCAGGCAGTTACAAACACACACGACACATGAAGGAGCCAGATCAGATCAAGGCCTCTCCTTTCTCTCTCTTTGCCTGCAGTCTCCCTTCTCTCCGTTTTCTCTGTGGTGGAGAGAAACGATGTCTGACGGCTACAACACCATACACACAAATGCAGCGCGTCAGGCGCACATCCGACTCATTCTGTGTGGAGACGCTGTAGATGAGAGGAGGACATGCCGACGGCGAGTCATCACGAGCTGGTGTTGATAGTGCGTGGTCAGCGACACGCTGATGCCTGGTCGGTGAATGTGCTGTGGCATCATCAGCCGAGCAGCAAGAGCTGAGATCCGTTGGCAGGAAAGCTCATTGATGAACCCCAGCATTGACTGGAACGGCACACTCATCCAGATGGATCGATGGATAGGCAGGCAGGCGCAAGCAAACAGGGGATGGACAGATGTGTCACTGTCGTGTGTTAACTAGCCTTCATTCAATTGACTAGAGGGGGGGTTCGATGGTGCGTGTCGACTGAATGAAGGTTCGTATTCGATGAATGTTGTGCTTATGCGACACTCTGAGTGTGGACAGACAACCACACGGATGTCAACATTTAAACAGGAAAGGGTGGTCAGTTGTCTGCAAAAGGACAGAGAGTCCGGATGGGGGAAGAGCTGCGGGCAACTCAGTGCAGGTCTCAAGGAAGAAGAAGCTCAACGAATATAAAATGTAGGCACCGATAATCTGTCGACGGGAACTGGATGTGTCGGGGGGCCTCCTCGATGAGCAGCGGGCCGAGAGTGGGGGCGATACGGGCATCAGAGGAGAGGATAGGATGGCGGTGAGGGATCGGAGGGCCGCCCTGGCCGCACGCTTCACACGAAGAGGAACCTGACACCGTCAAGGAGAAGAAGGACTGTGGGTGAGAGTGTGTGCCCTTCGGTTTATGTGTGTCCCACTCTCACCTGGTTGAGATAGTGCTGGTATGCGCCCTCCAATCGCTGATTCACCACTGGCAACAGGTGAGGGGAGCGTGCCTGCTTTGTCTCGTCAATGTCCACCACCAGGTGGAATGCCTCGCTCGTGCCGCCGTACAGCCGCTGCCGCTCCTCCAACGATGCCTGCTCGAGGGTCCCATCGTCCAGCTCGTCGTCCAGCTCGTCGTCCAGGGCCTCGCAGAGGGCTTCGGCAGCGACGGACATCGCGTCTCTGTTGAGCATCAGCTCACGCGTCATGCTGACTGCGCCAGTTTTGATGGCGGACACGAGGCAGCTCGTGCACTGCCCGGGGAAGAACCGCTTGTGAGCGGCCAACATATGCCAGAGCCTCATGTCACCGTACCCGGCCACCTTGGCGAGGTCCCACCGAGCAGCTCCGCCCCCGCCTCCATGAGCTTGGCCGCCCTCGCCCGCTCCGCGACGGCACGGGGGGTGTCGTAGCCGTCATGTGGCGGGTCGGCGGGGAGGGATGGACTGAGGATGGGAAAGCCGCGACCCAGCTGCACACAGCCACTGCTCAGAAGATCGTCCAGCACGTCGTCGTCTTCGAGAGAGAAGGCACTCGCGTGGTACGGAGAGAGCTTCCGCCCTGCCGCCCCGCCCTTGATGAGGGCGCCCATGACGCGAATGGCCTCCCGCCGCCCACCACGCCATCGGTCCAGATTGCGGAAGACCAAACTCAGTGCTGTGACAATTGTCGCAGCAGAATCGGTTCCCGCCTCTACCAGCTGCGCCGTCTTGGCTGCCGTGAGGAAACGGTGGCTAAGGCCGTTGCAGAGGAGAATGGTGTTCCATATTCGCCTAGCCCTGATGGGGTCGGTGATGCCCTTCTGCAGAAGGAAGGTAGGATCGCTGTCAGTCACCACAGCCGACACCCACGTCGATGGCGGTGCATACGCCTGCTCCGCCAGGACTGGGCAGACGAACCGCATCGCTCACTCACATTTGCATCCTCTCGCGGCAAAGCCTGAATGACACCAACAAGGACGAAAAGTCAGGCTGTTTCTGGCGTCCTATCGCAGCCTCATCGTTGCAGCTCACCGGTGATGAGTTGTGATAGTGCATGACATGTCCCCTTACCGATGATCTCATCTCGATGCCGCCGGCCGGCCGCGCAGAAGAGCCGTCGCCACCAAAAGGAGCGAGGGACTTTCCACCTGACAGATGAAAGCAGACGAAAACTTCGATTCGCGTCCTTCTTCCCTCTGTGTTGCGTACACGTCACTGCCGACGGTGAATCGAATGCGATCGGTGCTGGCAGTGGCAAAGGAGGCCTCGCTGTCCAGTGCTAGTGGGTCGTGGGGGTAGAGCATCCTGCTGCTGTCTTGATTGAGACGACCGTTGACACGCCAAAACTGAGGAGAAAGGAAGGACAGAGATAGTCCCAGAGATGGCACACACTTGGGATGGAGATCTTGCCACCCATGATGTACTTGAGCATGTGGTACATACGGTCGAATGGGATCTGGTCCGGCGGCTCCGCACTGCCTGCACCATCGAGAGAGAGATGGAAGTCGTATGGAGACAGCACTACCTCTTTCACAAAGGAAAAGAGAGGCAAGGGCACGTTTGAATGCTGTGCTCCCTACCTCTTCTTTCCCGTCCGCGGCCTCATCCTCGTTCTTGTGTCCCTCTTCCTGCCCCTCATATGGCGCCTGATGATATGCCGTCCATTGGGCCTTAGACTGACGGACGGCTGCACGGGTGTCTCCTCGAGCCATGCGTCCGCCGCTTTGATAAGGTTGAGATTGACACGAGGGGCGCCATCAGCTTCTTCTGAGCTGGCGTGTTTCTTTTCTCGAAGTCGAATCGGGGGATGTTGGCCGTGAGGATGCAGTAGGCCTTCTCGAGTGCATCGATGACACACACCATCACGGCAATGTCCATCAGCTGCTCCTTGGGGTAGCCACTGTCGCTGAGGGAGTCGGCGTGGCTGATGGCGCTCTCGAGCATGTCCATGGCTTCGGCCAGTTCTTTGTCCTCTCCCAGGCTTGGCGCCCTCGGAGCTGGGGCTGGGGGCTTCTGCGTTAAGAGACAGGAGACAAACGTACACAACAAACATTAATGGAGAGCGTCTGTCTGATCAGCAGCTGGCTGTGTGTGTCTGCCCTCTGCCCGCAGCTGTTTGACCAAACCCAATCCATCAACAGTGGCTGGCCGCGGCTGACCATTTTCGATGGGCGAACTTGAAGGGTGGCATCTGTGGCTCACCGCCGCCACATCACTATCACCGTCACCACCACCACTAGGACTGGGACAACCTGAGGAACACGGAGGTGGGATGGACTCAATCACATGAGTTCAACCCTCCCACCCCTTTCACCCCTCCACATGCTCGTTCATACCTGGCAGAATCACCCATGCATCCCCGCCCATCACACGACGAGCGACGCCAGCTGCCAACGGACTGCCCGCCACACCACTGCGATTTCCGTGGCGCTCCTCAATGCTGTACAGCGCGATGGATGCCGACAGGATGGTGTCTATCTTGATGCGAATGTGGGCCGCGAAGTTGTCGCCAGGCTTGTCACCACACAGAATGACTGTCCGGCTGTTGAGTCGGTCGTCGATGATGGTGCGGTGGCCCCACAGCTGCCCCTGCTGGGCCAGGAGGGCATAGGCAGCGGGCGAATGGCACTGGAGATACTCCACACTTGTCACACAGTGCACTCTGAAGGTGTTGAAGGAAGGAAACAGAGAATGCGATACACTGCCTGCTCTGGTCGATGTGTTGGCTGCATACGTCTGTCTTGATGTGGTCTGGATCATCCTGAATGAAATGGCAAAAGGGAAGAGGCAAAAGGATGACAGCTTGCTGCCCTGTGTTTTGCTGTGCTCGAAGGTTGTATACCCACCGATTGGTCGCCAAGTTGAGGAAGCCACGATGGAGATACGGATTGACTGCAGACAGACAGACAGACAGACCAATTGACAAAGAGAACGGTTATGTACGTGGCACACACGACCGCACCTCTGCTGTCTGGTCCCCCCGACTTACAGTGAGTGATGCCACACACAGGGTCGTCGTCATCGAATCCATCCTTGTATGCATCGGGCACCGTCTCGCGAGTGTGCACCACCAGAATGCCGTCGCCCAGCTTGTCTCTGCCCCGCCCCCCACGTGTCAGCGTCATGCCCGTCCCCAGCCGGTGGCCCAAGGGAAAGTACTGGCGCATGCTCGCCGGGCGCCTGTCGACTCTCGCCTTCCTGCCCGCGTGCTGCACATCCGCCGCCGTCAGCTGCATGGGCAGCGGCCCCTCGATCCGGCGATAGTGGCTTGCCAATCGGATCAGCTCCGCACTGCCCGCCCAGTCGCCATCCATGTCGAGCACATACAGCAGCCGGATGAGCCGAAACACCCGACGCTGGCATGAGCCCTCCCCGCCCCCACTCCACTGAAGCAATGCCGCCGAAGGAACTTTGTGGGACCTGGCTGATGGCGCTCTCGAGCATATCTATCAGTCGGCCAATTCCCTCCAAGGGGCCTGCTGGAGGGAGAAAGAGCTTGGGTGGTGTGGCCGCTGCTGGGGCTGGGGCTGACGACGCTCCTTCTGCGGCCGGTGCCTCTCGCTTCGACTCACCGGCACGGGCAGCCGCCACAGTTGCCTGGCTGCGGCGCGGCTGCTCAGTGACGGCTGGCTTGGAGGGGGCTGCACAGCCGCTGCCGCTCCTCCAACGATGCCTGCTCGAGGCCAGCTCGTCGTCCAGCTCGTCTTCCAGGGCCACGCAGAGGGCTTCCAGGGCCACGCAGAGGGCTTCGGCGGCGACGGACATCGCGTCTCTGTTGAGCATCAGCTCACGCGTCATGCTGACTGCGCCAGTTTTGATGGCGGACGCGAGGCAGCTCGTGCACTGCCCGGGGGCGAAGTGCGCGTGAACGCCAACATATGCCAGAGCCTCATGTCACCGTACCCGGCCACCTTGTCGAGGTCCCACCGAGCAGGTCGCGCCCCCGCCTTCATGAGCTCGTCAGCGTCGTGATGCTTGCTGTAAAACAGTGGCCATGTCCTTGTTGTCGATGAGCGCCACTTCGTTGTTGTCGAGAAAGAATTGGCCGACTCGGGGTGCGTCTCTTCGAGCACCGCCGAAGGTGCGGTGCTCCGTCCAATGCGCCAGGGCTGGATCGTGGTTCTTCGGCAAATATCTCGACCAATACAAAATGTAGACAGCCGTATATCTGAGACAGACAGCAGGGAGGGCACATGGCACTTCTCTCTTACCGATGTCGCAGGGAGACAGGATTCGAAGAGATGCGGCATCTCTTTCTTTCGCTCAGCGCTACCTTGATGGAGACATTCTTTATCAGGTGCTTGAACAGGTGGATCTTCATTGCCTGCACGAACTTGACGAATCCAGCCGCACGAAGGTGACAGGCGTCCTCGTGGATGTCACGAGTGCTTGCTTCGTCCCGTCTTCCCACCAGCACCTCGCCGCACGGCAGCTTGCTGCCCGCCAGATATATCAGCTTCTCAGGGAGCTGCTGTTCCACACCGCTGCCTCTTATGTGGAAGGCAATGAATGCGTCACGTGATGGCCTGTCGTCCACCGGCTGCCCCGCAAGGCACTCGTCATGTACTGGGTCCTGCACAAAGGAGAAGAGAGGCAAGGGCACGTTTGAATGCTATGCTCCCTACCTCTTCTTTCCCGTCCGCGGCCTCATCCTCGTTATCGTCTCCCTCTTCCTGCCCCTCATATGGCGCCTGATGATATGCCGTCCATTGGGCCTTAGACTGACGGACGGCTGCAGGCAGAAGGTCCTCTGGATCTGCGGCCCAAAGCCGGGCTCAATCGGCATTGTACCCACACCATCACAAGCACCGCCAACGGGAGGGATGGGCGAGGCCCATTGCTGGGTCCAGTACCAAGCATAATAGTGGGTGAAGAGCTCCACGACGTGCTCCACGCACCGCGCTGCATATGACTCGCCCGTAATACCCGGCTTCGAGGCAGCTGGCTCGGTAGACGCAGCTATAGTCTTCTCCATCTGCACACGGAATGGTGCAATCAACGTCCGTCGATGGATGCCTGGATGCCAATGCAGTGAGATTACCGGTTCCATGGACTTCATGCGTAGTTCGCCGACGCTCGAAGGATGGCGGTTCATGACGCCTCGATCAGTTGACCCAGAGAAGACCTTCTCCTTGACAGAAACCTTTTCCTTGACATGGGCGCATGAGTCGCCTGCGTCGATACACACGCACATCAGTCCATGCATATCACTGCCACTCTAAGCAGTGGCTGTGACGGTGGGTCACCTGACGACGGCATTGGCTGGGGGGTGGGCGACCGTGGCCGGGAGCTGGGCAGGTGCATACACAACCACGATGCGGGCACGTGGTGATAGGGGTGGTCACGTTTGGCTCCGTGGCGACAGAGGGAAGGCGACAATGGGCCGTCCGGCTGCTGCTGCTAGTGCTTCCGGTGCCTGTGACAAGAAACAAGCGCATTGATCGGTGCCTGAATCCGCGATACTTGGAGGGCTCACGCGACAGGTGTGAAACACTGGATGTGGTAGAGGGCCGTGTGGCGCAGCAGCATGTGGTGGGCGAACTGCCATCAAGTCCGGGGGCGGCCGCCACTGGGCATCATACTGCGGCCTGTGCTGGGGAGACCGGCCAGTGGGTGAGATCAAACCACGGCCGACTGAAGGACGCCACAGCACAAAACAAAGAGGTACCCCATTTATGTGACCACCCTGCCACGCCTATTGCTGGGGCTGTGCTGACTCACCTGGTCGAGTCGGTCGGACAGGGGACCGATAAGGATCCATCAGCCAATTCAAAGAAGAGAGCAGATGCCTCACAGTGGAATGAACGGTCCCGTGACGCCTCCCCGCTCCAGCCACTGGCCTTTTGAGGCGTGTGGGTCTACTCCAAGTGGAAATGCCTCCTCGCAGGCCGGCCAGCACCGAGCAGCTCAATATCTTCGCTAGACGCATACCGGCTGAAGATAAGGCTGGCGGGAAAAACAGGGAAGGGTTGTCGTGCGAGGGGCCGGTGGCGGGGCCGTGCACGTCTTGGCCTCCACTATTGCTGCAGCTTCCACTGCCGGCAGCCGGCATCGACGCACCAGCGATGGGAAGAGACCTCATGAGGCACTAGTGGGGAGACTGACTCATGAGGAACACCACGACGAGACGCATCGTCATTAACAACAGCAGCAGCAGCAGCAGCAGGGGATTGGAGCGGGAAGAAAAGCCGGTCGTAAGCTGGCTTGACTCCATCTGGTCAGAGATGCGGGGTGTGGCCAATCTCATGCGGCAGGGACCCTCCCATGCAGCGCGCACCATGCTGTTTGGACGTGTCCTCGACACCGCCCCGGGATGACAGGCTGGTCTCAAGTGGCTGATCTGGTCGACGCGTGTCAGCTGCCTGAGGAGCTTGAGAACGCCGGGAATCCATCTCAGTACCCGATGAGCCGCGCACACAGAGCAAGCATTGAATTAATCCATGCCCACCGTGTGTGTGCTCGGTGGCTGACTGTTGACGTCTGTGCATGTGGTGCTGTAAGTCTGCAGGTCGGGAGCAGAGCCCAACAGGATACTTGCCACGGTCCTGAAGCGGTCTCTCAGCCGCTGGTGGGCGCTCCGCTCCAGTGTCTCGGGAGACTACGCCACCAAACACATACCACACACACAGAGTATAACGTGATTGTGTCACGAGCATGGACTTTCTGCCAGCGACCTTGTCGGCGAGTTGCGAGGAGTTCAGGCGCGCCACTGTACCCAGCTGTTGACAAAGAGGCAGTGTAGACCAGCAACAGCACGGCATTGCGATCACAAGTTTAGAATCGTCGCAGTCGTTCTGCCTGCTCACCTGCTGGAGCAACTGGTGGAGTGCCTGCAACCAACAAGGGCCCTACGAATGGGCAGGTGGCAAAGACTGAATGTCCGTTCATGCCGAAGGACAGAGAGTCCGGATGGGGGAAGAGCTGCGGGCAACTCAGTGCAGGTCTCAAGGAAGAAAAAGCTCAACGAATATAAAATGTAGGCACCGATAATCTGTTGAAGGAAGATAGTGTTAAGGGAACGGTCCCGTGACGCTTTCCCGCTCCCACCACTGACCTTCTGAGGCGTATGGGTCTACTCCAAGTGGCTTCCTCGACTGGTTGAGTATCATGGCCAACCTGGGCATCAGTCGACAACCTGCAAACAGACACAGACACACACACACAAAGATACACCCAAAGCGCGCCGATGAAGCATCGTCCCTCGCGCGTGGTGCGCCATTATCCTTTCTCGCTAGTGCGTCGTGCCCCTCCAAGTGGCCCTCAACGATACTGACCCACACGTCGAAGCACCAGAGGGGGCTGCCAATGGGGTAGCGCACCACCAGCGTCTCGAGGTTGATCAGCCGCCGCCCCAGCCGGCGGGCCGCAGGGATGGGTATCCGCTGGCACATATCTCGCGTGGACGCGTCCCTCCAGTCGATGGCGAGGTATGCGCATTGGTGTATGGGCGCCTGGCTGGCGATGTCTGTGCTGAAGCACAGCTGGGAGAGGTCCCACGGCTGCGAGAAGCTGATGATGTTGCCCAGATCCAGAGGCGACAGGCGAGACGCAGCCTGACAACCAATCCACGCACACACAGACGCACGCAGCCGCATGGGTGTGAGGCACAATATCGATGTTCCCCTGTGTGTGTGTCGGTAGCCCACCGGTCCGTCGTTGCGAGGTGGTTTGTTGCCCCTCTCGTCCAGATGGAACAAGGTGCCCTCAATCCGCGGGTCGTGCTGCGCACACCACACACAGCACCACACACATACATACATATGTATGTCGATGCGCCGCTGGGTAAGGGTATCTCATACCTGATATCTGATGGTCTGCATCTCTCCAGGATTCACCAACGGGCTGTCCTTCTCCGTCGCAGGCGGGATGCCGACACGGGCGTCAGATGGCAGCCGTGCGCTCACTGCATCGCTCGATGAGCTACAAACACACACACACAGGTACGCACACACACACACGTGAGACCGAGCGTCGATGCTTACGAGCTCCCAGCTGGCCGCGATGTGTCGTCGACCTTTGAGGGATCCGTCTTCGGCGCTCTGTACTCATCATCGTTGTTCTGACAGACGCAGCCGGGCAGGCTCAGATTCACCAGTGTGCATAGCGTGACTGATCAGTACCTGCGATGGCCGGAGATGGACTTCGTCGAGATGCACTGCGGGTCTCTGGATGAATTAGAGAGAAGGAAGAGATGGCCATGGCCGTCAGAAAGCCTTTGGTGCTTCACCTGGTCAGTGGTGTCGTCATCCTGAGACGTGCCCGAACCCGACATTAGTACGTGTTGTGGGTGCACCTCTGCTGCTGGGCTGCCGCTGTCCCTCCTCTCTCGCCTGTTCCTTACGGCCCTTCATGTGACCCTCAACGAGGCGCACCCACATGTGAGATTGACCAGCCGCCGCCCCAGCTTGCGGGCCACGTCCGACGGCATGCGCTCCCACGTAGACCGCATTGCCGGGTCACTGCAGTCGATGACATAGCGTCCGCAGCGGGGGAGTGACTGCGAGGAGAGGTCCTTGCTGAGGAGACGGCGGCCGAGGTCCCACGGAGGCAACAAGCTCATGACGTGGGCGAGCTCGAGCGATGACACGCGGAATTGAGCCTGGTGATCCATCGACATACAGATAGGTACGGAGTGCGGCGCGACAGTGCAGATACGCTCCTCTCTGTGCGTTGGTGGTTACCTACCGGTCCCTCGTTGCAAGTTGACATGCTGCCCCTCTCGTGCAGGTGGAACTCGTTGCCCTCGAGCTGTGGGTCATGCTGCACACACCACACATGCCACACCACAGACGTGCCGCAGGGATACAATGTATAGCAGTGTGTGTCGTTGTGCGTGCCAAGGTGCCTGCCTGGTATCTGATGTTCTGAAGGCTCCCGAAGCCCGTCCACAGGGCGTCCCTCGCTGCCTGCAGGGCTCTTTTCACCGACGCGTGGTCCTCAGCGTCATGGGACTCTGCACCAGCACACATACAACACACATGCACCGCAGCCTGACCTGTGGACGACCACCGTGGCTGTGGGGACGGGACGCCGACTGACCTGGTTGGGCAGCTGAGAGGCGTCCATACAAGCTACCGCGTGGTTCTGAAGGCACGGAACACACAAGAGAGGGAATGAACAACACTCATGCACGGTGTTGCCTCCCATCCATCGCCACACCTGCACAAGCAGCTGGTGCAGAAACTCGAAATCCCCTATGCGAACCTGTTAGACCGGGGGAGAAAGATATGGACACTGCATGCTGCCACCAAGGGGCTGCTTGACCGTGCTTCACCTGTCCGCCGGAGCTGCGCTGGCAAGATGGTGAGGCATCATCATGCAGCGACGGGGGCACCACTCGAGGCGGAAGGGATGACGAGCGGCCTCTGCTGTGGCTGGCGCTTTGGTCGAGAGCACGGGGTGCGATGATCGTGTTGTGGTGGTTGCCCTCTGTCATCTCCGCCGGCCCCTTGTCGATCCCGCCGGGCGGCAGTGAGCTCATCTTGGTGAGGAAGAAGCCTGATGACGTCGCCTCGCACAGCGCCTCACTCGTCAGACTGCCGACACCCAGCGGGCCGACACCCTGACAGACAGACAGACAGACAGACGGACAAGGGGAGTGAGAGCAATGAATCCCGGGAGCCATGTCTGGCAGTGCATTCACACACTGACCTCCTGAAGCTGTTGCTGGCCTTTGCTCTCTCCTTGCTCAAAGTCCTCCGACACACCACCTGCACACACGCAGACACACACACACACACACACACACACACAGAGAGAGAGAGAGAGAGCTCTTGGCGCATGTGGCGGGTCGCTGTTTCATCCTTGTGTCGCTCCGTATCACGACCACCAGCAGCAGCAGCGCTACTGCTAGCACTAGCAGCCGCAGAAGCAGGGGAATCATTCTCCCTCACGGCTGCAAGTAGCTGCATTCACACATGGAAGGGATTGCCAGCCGTCAATGACGGTCTCTCTCCCGTTTCCTCTTCAAGTACCGTCCACTCGCACAGCCTTGTCCGATTTGGAGTTGTCAGGTCCTTCACTTGCCTCTTCGTCTACAGCCATCGCCCCGCCAACACCAACCTAACGGCACACCACGCGAGCTCACGAAAGTGCACTCACATCCCGCACCCATCGATATGCGCACCTGTGAGCTCTCGAGGATCTGTTCCATGTGGTGGAGGTCCGACTCAATGCGCATCAGCCGATCAGACAGCCGCTCAGACACGTCCTCTTGTGCTGTCGACAGGTCCACGCACTGACACGAAACACAGCCAACAGAGGCGGCAGTTAACTTGCCCATGGAAGCAACCAGGGCTACATAATGTCTGTACAACACGTACCTGTGTCTGTAGTGTGTCGGCGATGTCGCGCATGAGATCCAACTGCTCCCGCATGCGATGAAAGCGACTATCACTGACAGCCTGCATCACACAGGCTACACGTCGCTGCAACGAAATGCAACTGGTGAAGGCTGATGCTGACCTGCTGATTCGCGGCACTAGTGGCACTGCCGGGCACACGAGTCGCAGATGATCCACTGCCACCATTGCCACCAGCATCACACTCAACTGCCACACGGAGAACAATCACTGTTGATGGCGCCTCCCGCTCGCTGCCTTGTGTTTGTGTGTGTCACCTGCTTCCATCGTGGTGTTTGTTCTATCTTCCGACGATGAGCGCTTCACGGCATCGGTGTTTTGTCGAATATGGGGTGTGAGGGTACGGCTGATGGGGAAGGGCTGCTCGTTGGCTGGCATGATCTGGCGCGGCGCCACGAAGGAAGGGTACTCGATAAAAAGGGCTATCCAGTCTTTATCACCGAAGGCGCCTGGGTGCCGTCATGGTCTTGTCCGCGTCTGAGAAGCACGTCTGGTACCATCCCAGATCAGGGCATTCGTGGCCTGCGTTTACCGCTTGGCAGACATGGTAGCGCGTACCCCGGAAGTACATCTCTACTGATATAAAATGTAGTCAGCGATTGCCTGCATAAAAGAAGCGGGAAGCAAGGCAGTGAGCGTCATCGTGTCTCCTCAGTCATTTTCCGGTGGCCCATCATACTTACAAACCCGCCCATTCTCGCCGACACCTCGGCGAGAGGGGTGCGCGTAAGTTAAGGAAGGAGTGGACCTAATACAAAATATAGACAGGCGTAGCCCTGAGGAGACACCCATGCATCTCACTCCTACCTGCATGTCCGGCCATGATTATCTCGTGTCTGTGCCATCAGGTGCTCACCCGTGCTGAGAGCCTGATTGAGGCATCGCTCGGCTCCGTGGCTGCCTTCCACATGGCCATACGGACCAACACCCAGACCAACACCCAGGCCACCAACCAGCCCGCAAGCACCCTCGACATCTTGATCAGCGTGGAATCACTCATCGGCCACTTTCTGGTCGACATCCCCCCCGCCCATCTCCCATTCACAACACGGACACTGTTCGGCCGTCGTGTGCAGAAGGCAATCGACAAATTCGTTCGTTTCGTGGCGACGAATCGAGCAGTGGTGCAGCAGACTGGCGGGCAGGGGAGTGGCGGCAATGCGCAGAACGGGTGGAGTCTCCAGCAGCAGCTCGACCAGTGCAAGTGCTTCGTCATCGGTGGCGTGGGAGGCCAGCGTGTGGGTCTGCGAGACGTCATCGAGAAGGCCAGGCGGGAGGAGGCGGCGGAACACGGCCTGACGATCGACCATCTAGCTGGGGCACACGTGGCGTTTCAGCTGGGTCAGGTCGGCACAGTCTCGGGCTTCCCGGCAAGATTCGAATCACTCCAACTCGCCGAGTGGTGGTATGGATACACGCGGGGTATCTATTCGCTGATGTCATCCGCGTGCTGTGTATGTGTATTTGTGCAGGACGTAGCTCTTCGGTGAGAGTGCATTCGGTGACAGCCGCGGAGTGCTGAGTGCTGAGTTAGCTTTGGTGGGGAGTTGTGAGTGAGGGCCGACGTGTGAGTACATACAGACAGTGATTGATTCAAGTGATGTTCCCGCGATGGACCCATGAAAGATTGACCCATCCACGAGTCCGCATTCAGTCAACATCGAGTGGTACAGACCACATATGAACACGCGGCCATTCGTTCCAGCCAAACTACCATCAATGAGCCAGCCAGGCAGCCAGCCAGCCCCTGTACACACATGCACAGAGCCACAGCCACAGGCAGCCCCACCCCCAGAGCACCGACACATCTCCCTGTGTGCATCGATGTACACATCCGTCTATCTCTAGCGAAGAGTGACGCTGTAGTGAGTCTGCAAACTCTGGTCTATGTCCGTCTTGACCAGCAGCAGCTTGTCCACTGGTCGGTCCTCGGGGCGCAGACACAGCAGGTTCTTGCAGATGCTCTCGACGGTCTCGCGAATGGCGACGGACTTGCCCTCGGCGGCCCGCCGAAAGGCCGCCCTGGTCTCGTTGACGCACCGCACGATGGCCTCAAACACCGTCCCATCTCCGTTGGGCTGCCCTCCTCCCTGTGCGTCCGGCCCATCCGGCTCGTCACCATCCTCTCCGTCGCTCTCGTCGCTATCGCCATCATCCTGGCAATCTCCATCCACCAGGTCGTAGCACGCAGCGATGCGCGCCACCACGCCGCCCACATCCTGCCTCTGTGCCTCCCCAGCATTCGACGACGACGGCGTGTTGGATGGCTCGCGAGCCCAGCGGACCCTTGGCGAGCGCTGCTTGTACTGCTGATGCGCCCCCACGAGCAACGCAGGGAGGGCGAGAGCGACAGCGTAGACGGAGCTGCCCCCGCAGAAGCCCGCGAATCCCCACCTGTTGAGCCGCTGGTTGTTGGTGGCTGGGTCAGCGGGGGCTATGTGGCGCAGGAGAAGGGCCTCCGGCGCCACGGAGCAAGACGGGCCGACAGCATATCCGCCTCCCACTGCCCACTTGGACCCGTCGAATGAGGGGTGGTCGGTGTGAGGTGCGCGGATCTCCCTGTCGTGTTGGTCGCCCGCTTGGCCGTCGACGTGGTGAATGTGATGCAGGGGATGGGCAGCTTGATGGTGCGCGGGGTGACGGATGTGCTGGGTGTGGGGGGCGGGGGCGTGTGGGTGATGAGGGCGGCCGTGAGGGATGCGTTCATGTTGCTGGCCTCCACCTTCGTCATTCGGAACGGGAAAGACTCCACCACTTGCTCCTGGCCGTCGGCTGCGGTGTGGACCCACTGGAAACCTACCCTGGTCAGCCTCATGCTCGAGTCAAAAAAATCAGATATATGTCCATCGGGTAGCAGGGTGGGCGGAGAGATGGGGGGCACCTCGGCGGTCAGGATGGCGTGGGCCTTCACCACCGTATCGCGGGCACACACCAGCAGAGCGATGTCCGTCAGCTGCTCGTGGCTGAACGCTGACCGCAGCGCCCCACCTACTGCGTGCTCCAGTGCATCGCCGAGCATCCTGTTCACGTCTGGGAGCTCGTTGAGGGTGGGTGCGCGGCCGGGGATGGCCGAAGGGCCGCGCAGCTCCTGCGGGTCTATCACGATCTTCTTGGTCCAGGCAGAGTCACCCGGAGGCCAGCCGGGGGGGCGCAAGCGGACGCAGGGGATGGGCTTGCCTCTGGCAGAGTGGAGGCCCTGGGGCTGCGTGGGGGCGTCGTAGCCCTCCGGGACTCTGTTGAGGTACGAGAGACAGCCGATCTTGCGGTCGAGGAGGAGGATGTCCCCAGCACGCAGAGGGACGTACTCGTTGTGGTCATCACCCGCGAAATACATCTCCTCCTGATCGAAACGACAAATCACGACATGCGCTGGTATGCCCGCCAGAAACTATCCCTCATGTGTGGCTTGTCTGTCTGTCTGTGTCTGTCTGTCTGTCTGTCTGTCTGTCTGTCTGTCTGTCTGTCTGCGCGCACCTGCGGCGGGAACTTCAAGTCGTTGGTTGTCGGAAACGCACAGAGCCCGGCGGGGCAATCCTGGATGTAGAGCCAATCCTGGAATATTCCGACAGCGGAGAGAATTGGACACTGCCGTGTGCATGATACACAGGGTGGCCCACCTGTGTATCAATACCGCCGTCAGCCGATGCAGACGCCGCGTCCGACATGCTCTTTCGAGAGCGGTCAGCACTATGACCTGAATGGCACACAAACGACAGGGAGGGCATGTTGACGGCCTGGAGGTCACTCGTCTGACATTGCTTCTCACCTGTGATGGGTTGTGCCTGCGGATGATGCCAAGGGCAGCGCGCGACACTCGGTTGTCGCCACGAGATGGTGCAAACGAAGCTACGTGAAGTGCCGAACGAGCCGGGTGAGCAAGACCCGCAGGCACGGCCCTCTGCAAGCCACACGTCCTCGCTCGACAAAGACGAGCTCGCCGCACCATTGCGTGAAACTGTTCGCAGAGCCGGGAGAGGGCCAACCAACCTCGACGCTGATTCTCTGAGTGACCTACCACTTAGCGATTTGAGTCGGCCAGTGCACCAATCTTATCTTGTGGCCATGTCTGAGTACGATCAACAGACGCCCGTCGCAGGTCATGAGGCGGGAGGAGCGTCAAGCGTCGTCAGGCGAAGTGCGGATGACCAGCCCATATCGACGAGGATCCCGCGAACCAGCTGCGTCAGCAACACGTTTGGAGCCAAACACACGGTGCGTGCGCACATCTAGGTGCATGTGGCCACGCTGTTGAGGGATTTCGTGTGCGCCTGTGCGTGTCGACAGGACTACATCATCGAGCTTGAAGATTGCGGCAAGGTGACGACGGCCACACGCCGATTCAAGAACTTCGCCGACTTACATGCACGGGTATGGCAGGGAGGGGGAGGAGCAGCTCAGCACGAGGGCAAATAGGGAGTGGTTGCTTCATTTGGCTCATGCGTGTGTTGTGTCCAGTTGCGCCGTCTTGGTATCGAGGGACTCCCAGAGGTCCACACACACACACACACAGAGAGAGAGAGATGCTCCCTCTTCCACACGCAATGACTGACGGCATGATGCTGTCTGTGTTGTGTTGATCAGTTGCCTGCCAAGAAGCTGTTTGGCAATCTGGATCTGACCTTTGTGGAGCGGCGGAGGCAGGCACTCGAACAATACCTCCAGGTAGCCACTGCAGAGACGAATGAATGTGGTGCAGAGGGGGTGGGGTCACCGGCTGGGTGTCTGTGTCGCTTTTGCTGTGCTGGCTGATCGGTCAGAGTTTGCTCAAGATTGATGCGGTGATCAACGACGGCAACATATGGACCTTTCTTGACGCAGAGGAGGCCACAGTGGTCGTCGCTAGATTCCTGGTAACAAACACGCACAGACATGACCGACACACACAAGACACAGCCACGTCGCTGCTTGTTGGTCACAGTGCTGTCGCGAGCCCGATGGCACCGTCACGCTCGTCTCACATCTGCAGCGGTAGACACGCGCACGCACACAGAGCGGGGCAGGCGATGTGAACATGCCATGGGTTTGTTACTTCAGTTTGGCGGCCAACGAAGTGAATCTGTTTCGTATTTGTCACCCCTCTGTCCTTAGCGCACTGCTCGACCTGGTCAGTCAAGCAAAGACATGCAACCATGCCGGCAACGGCCATCAGCGTCACCTCCTTTCTCTGTGCTGTTTGTCTGTGTGCAGGGGGACACCAACAACAGTGATCTCCACACTCGACTGTGCACCATTTTAAAGCAGCTCCTCTCCAAAGAAGGTCCGCTCCGATAGATCACCACAGACACGGGGGACGGCACCATGTGCATTCCATTCATGTGTACGCTGTCGGGTATCAGGTAGCCGTCAGCTGCTGATTGAGTTCAGTGCCCTGTCAGTCGTCATCTCAATACTCGAGAAAAACATCGGAGGTCAGCGCTCACAGAGGCAGAGCTATGATAATGGGCAGCAGAATTCCTGGTAGACACTCTCCGTGTGCAGACGGTGAGCCCCCGGCAGCCCTCGTGTCGTCAGCCCACTTCTTCTGCCTGTCCCTCGTCGAACACAGTGAGCACACACACATTCATTCTCACAGCAGGCCATGCCGGCCTTTTTTTGGTTGGCAGGTCCGACGAGTCTGTTGGTGTTCTTCCGTAACGACGGCGGGATGGTGCAGTTCCGGCGTCTGCTGCGTGACCCCAAGTACACGACCCTCCACGACTTCCTGGCCCTGCTGCTCTGGCTCGCCATGGCGCTGCCCGAGATCCAGAGCGCCCTCTCAGAGGCAGACGGCATCGGCATGGAGGTCCTGGCGGCATTCTACCAGTCCCCAAACCCACTCGCCCGACTGCTGAGCGGCCTCATGATCGCCACCCTCCTCAAGCACCACCGCTTCACACACCCCGAGACGGCCCAGCGGGCAGCCATGTCCCTGGAGCTGCTGCCAAAGGACCTACAGAGCGGTCCCAACTCGCCGCCAGGCCTCGAGTATCGGCAGCTGAGGCTCGTGTGCAAGGGCAACAACATGGCCAGGATCGCCCAGCTCGTCACCAGCAGTGGCGACAAGCCCGAGGGCGAGGACGCCATCCCTGCAGTGACGTTCTTCGTCTGCTGGTTCGTGTCGGTACTCGTCACCAAGGCGGCAGCGGCCACCACAGACAAGCCCTCGTCAGCAGCAGCAGCAGCAGCAGCTAGTGGCGCGGCGTCATCGTCACACGAGGCGGGGTCCGCCGCTGCTGGTGGGGGCCCGTCTACCCCCAGCCCCCGTGAAGACGTGGCGGAGCTGGTGGTGAAGCACGGCCTGCTGCCGGCCATCGAGCACCAGCTCAGCTGGGGCGCCACCGACATGGTCCGCACCCTCGCAGCTGTCGCTCTGCTCCACGTGCCCTGGGGCGAGGAGGACTCTCCCGCATCGCCATCGGTGCCCCCGACGCACCAGCAGCAGTCAGCCCAACCGACCTCCCGCGCACAGATGGGCACACGGGCCAACTCGATGGCCAGCAGCTCCAGCACTGGCGGAGGGGCCTCTGCGGCCGCGGCCAGCATGCGAGTGGTGTCTCGTGGCGGCGTGGACAAGAAGGCGGCATCGTCCATTGCGTGCCCGTCCTTCCCGCTGTCGTTGGACCTGCTGCAGCAGCGTCTGACGATCACCAAGGTGCTGCTGGAGCACGCCGAGCGTCAGTTCGATGTGCACAAGGAGCTGCTCAAGGGCGAGAACGAGCGGCTCAAGGCCAAGGAGGAGCTCGTCGTCGACCGCACGAGAGGCCTGGCGCTGTCCCTCGACCGCATCGACGAATTCCTCAAGGAGTTTGAGCGCTTCGAAGGCAAAAGGGAGGCCCTCTCGCAGGCTGCACAGGCCTCCCGCGCCTTTGTGGGCCAGATGCGGACGCTGCTGGAGGCCCAGGGGCTGACTCGCGGCGGGCTCAACGTCAATGCCGAGGACTTTGCGTCTGAGATCCGTAAGATCCAGGAGGACGCCAAGGAGATCGAGACGCAGTACGAGGGTGCGGTTCGGAAGGAGCAGGAGCTCAACGAGCGGAAGCGTGAGGCCGACGCCCTGCTGCGGTCGCTGCTGGAGGCGAGCGGCATCCTCAAGCAGAGCCAGGAGAACCTCCGCATCGTCAAGAACCAGGCATCCAACCACCGCGAGAAGTGGATGGAGGTCGAGCGGCTCATCGAGAACGCCCCCCAGCGCAAGCAGCAGCTGGCCGAGCAGGTCAAGTACCGCCAGGAGCAGCTCGAGACGCTCCGACACAAGAGGGACGCACACGAGCGGCAGCTGGCGGCCCTCAGGCAGCAGTCGTCCCACAACGACGCCGAGAGGGCCGAGTACGACGCAGCCCTGACCAAACTCAAGGAGATCGAGGCGGAATACGACGAGTGGGTGCGGCACAGGCAACGCGACCAGGCACTCGAGGTCAGTGGGGAGGGAGGGAGGGAGGGAGGGAGCGGAGGGAGGGACCAGCACACACAGATACGCATCGAAACATGCACTCATGTGATGTGTCTGTCGTCTGGGCTGTCTTGGTGTGGTGTCGTGTGCAGGAGCACGAGCAGTTCTTCTTTGGGAGTCAGGATGAGGGCCCCCACTCGCACGCACCGGCCTCATCTAGCCGCATAGCGGGTGGCGGCACGGGTGACGGCACCGGCGACGGCAGCCCCTCCAACACAGCTCACCATCTCACACACGTGTCCGCCGCGGCAGCAGCAGCTGCTGCATCCACCGCCGATACGGCCCACGGTCACCCTTCCTCCTCCTCCCAGGAGGAGCCAGCCGAGGAGCTGGGCAATGCCGCCAAGATCGCCTCCCTGGCTGCCAAGATCCCGTCTCTGGTCATGGACGAGTCGGTGCAGGCTTTGATGACGGCCTCAGGTGACGCGTCTGAGACGTCTCGTGAGTTCCGTCGGCTGATCAAGGCCAAGATGGACTGGGTGCGCCAGCGGATGCAACCCCTGAGGACCGACGACACGCTGCGGTCCATCCGCCAGCTGCAGGACAAGCACAAGCAGATCGAACAGGAGGTCAAGAGACTAGAGGCTGACCTGCAGAACCTCCAGCAGCAACTCGCTCTACAGGTGGATGGATGGATGGATGGATGGGCAAACATCACAGACGAACAGACATGCACCCATCTCATCTCTTTCTCTCTGTGTATGTATGTGTCAGAGTGACCCTGAGGCGATGGTGCGCAAGGCGGCCGAGTTGCAGGCGTTGTGCCGCCAGGCCGATGGTGAGGTAGACAAGAAGACCGAGGAGGTGTCCTCGGTGCAGGCCAAGGTGACTGACATCGAGGCCCAGCTGGAGAAGAAGAAGGCCGAGGTCCGCCTCCTCGAGGCGTCCTTCACCGCCGCCAAGGAGGCCCTCCACTACCTCGTCGACAAGTCCAACACACTCCGTGCGCAGCTCTGCCGCAGACTCAACGCGCAGGAGAGCGAGCTGCGGCAGCTCCTGAACGAGACCGAGAGCCTCCGGGACGACAGCCACAAGCTGGCCCACCACATGACGACCATCGACCAGAACCTGCTGCGAGAGAAGAAGGGCCGGGAGGAGTTCCGCCAGCAGATCGCCGCCATCATGGGGGCGCTGCAGGCCACCGACCGGGCGATGGGCGAGATTGACGACGCACCGATCGAGCAGCTGTCGCCCGACATCCTGGAGGAGGCCGACCAGCTGGGGGGCCCGTCGACGAGGACGTCCAAAGAGGGCAAGGAGCTCATGATGCAGCTCACCTCGGCCAGCCAGTGGGGCTGACCTGACTGACGGACGGTTGCGTGGATAGGAGGGATGCCTTACCTTTTTTCCAGTGGACTGACGATTTGAATCAAGACAGACAGACAAAAAAACAGACGGAGTCGGGATCGATGGATGGATGGAGGGACACTCCTCCGTTGACCGATGCTGCCCACGTATACATGTGTGTATCGATGACGTGTATTTTTCTCGTCTTATCTATCTATTAGATTGCGAGAGAAGGAGAGGACAGGGTTTGTAGCGCTCCCCCCACTGGCTGGCTGGAGACGTGTAGGGAACCCACACGTGAGTGGGATGGGACTTTCTCATGTGACCTGTGCACGTGTCAGGCATTGCGACCTGTCGTGTGTGTGTGTGTGTGTGTGTCTGTGTGTGTGAACGCATTGGTACGCGGCAAGGCAACCAACCAAGTAAACCATGGCAAGTTTGACTGAGCAGAGGCACAGTTTCCTCACGCTCTCACGCACACTGACGTCACGAGACAGCCATGCACCACACGAGAATCGCCACCACCCCGTCCGTCCGTCCATCCAACCATCGTCCCTCCTGCCAACACGCCCAGGCCCCTCCCTCCCTACCCATCCCGCCCACCGCCATCTCGGTTGAAACACGGCGAGCAGACGGACCAAAGCGGCAACACGTGCACGCACGACAAGAGGCGGCAGGCTGACTGGTGCAGGGGGGGGAGGCGTCCGGGTGTGGGCATTGTCGTGTGTTTATCTGTATCGCCTGAGCTGGAGGAACTGTCGTCGGCGCCAGGTGGCGCGCCGCGAGGGGCGCAGCCGGGCCGCACCACCGCCCTTGGTCCGCAGACCACGATACTTCTTGCCTGCAACATGTGACACACACATTGAGAGAAACGGTACACACGTGTATAGTGGGTCCCCCTCCCTCCCTCCCTGTGTAGCGATATCATCTATCTCTACCGACCTGCGCTGGTGAGTCCGCGGAGCTCGCGGTGCTTGTGTGTGGCGTCGCAGATCCAGTTGTATCGTGTGTTCTTGCGGATGGCGTTGTGGGAGGGGTCGACCATGATGACCTCGAAGAATTTGTAAGTGGCGTCCTGGGCCACCCAGTAGGAGTTGAGGACGCGCAGCCCGGCGCACACCTTGCGGCCCACCCGCTCCTCGGCGACGCTGCGGAGGTTGCGGGTGCTCTTCTGCTTGCGGATACCGTGGTGCTTGGGCTTGCCGTAGACGATGCCCTTGCTCACCATCTTCTTGCGGTCCCCACGACGCACACGGACGCGGTAGATGACGAACCCCTGCTTGGCCTTGTAACCCAAACGACGCGCCTTGTCAGGACGAGTCGGACGGGACGCACGGTGCACCGCAGGCAGGTGACTACAGCACACCAAACCAAACACACAACGCCAGCCAGAAGACACAACACATCCACAAGCGGTGGTCACACGAGCTATCTGACTGCCTGCCTGCCTGCCTTCGTCAGAGCTGTCTTGCGCTCGCATCTGTCTGTCAGCACCCGTGCCCCCCTCTCTCCCTCCCTCCCTGTGTGCGTTGGTCACCGGTACTCCCATGTGCGGACGCGGAGAAGGAATCGGAGCACATCCGACTGCTTCTTCTTCCACAGCTCCTCCAGGTACCTGCAGGACACACACAAGACAGAGATCCTCAAGATCTCCCGTCAAGCTGTCTTCCCTGTGGTCTCCCTTACTTGTACGCGCCCATGATGATGCGAGGAAAGCGAATCACACCTGCGAGCTAAGCTCAGAGTGCGAGCTTAAGTTGTCAACGGGGATTTTCCCAGCTGCGGGGCAAGCGAGGCAGCACGAGGACATAGAAACAAGATCTCGACAAAGGGAAGAGTTTTCCCTGACTTCTCCGTGTCAAGCTCAAGATGATGGCATTCCCTTCATCGCCTGTGATGCAGTGCGTCGCCCTCTGCATAGGCCTGGCGCATGCCTTCCAGCCCCTCTCCCCTCCACGACCATCACATCGACAACTCTATCAGCTCATGTCAGCGACAACGCCGAGGCGGCATCGGCCATCCTCCCTCTCACATGAGGCGCTGCAGATGTCCGCAAGTCATGACAGTGATGACAGCCGCAGGGCCCATTTCTGGAGGTGGCTGGCCACGCCGGCTGCCGTGGGCTTGTTGAGTCTCGGAGGCGTCCCTCTGCCGTCGGAGGCCGCCAAGAACACCGCATTGGCTCAGAAGATAGCCCCGAGGATACGGCAAATCGCCACTGTACTCGATGAGCTGCAGGCTGACATCTACGACGAGGTCAGCCAGCGACGGGCTGTCTGTGTTCAGTGCATGTGTGGATGTTGTGTTGTTGTGTGTTGGTGTGTTTGTCGGTCGGTCTATAGGATTGGGACATCTTGGCGTCGTATCCGCAGCAGCTGCGGGCGTACGTGCCCATCTTCACCAAGTACACGGACTCGGCCTTCCCCGGCAAGGACCCTGTCGACGAGAACACACGATTCGCACTCAGATATGAGGTGGGTGAGGGCTGGACATACGCACCATTGTCAGTCACGTGGCCTCCTGTTGTCTGTGTGTGTGTCATGCAGGTGGGTCGTTTGTTCGGATCTGTTGAGCGTCTGAAACGCGCTGTGGACAAGAAGGACGTGCGGGAGACCGAGGAGGCCTTCGCAGCCATGTCGGTCTCATTCGACAGGTGCGGCGAACCACAGCATGGCATGGCATACCGCCGGGCGGGAGGGCATGTTTTGACTGACCATTATGGTGTCTGTCTATGGGCGTGTGTGTAGGTATTTGAAGGCTGGCGATTTGTATGAGGTCTACGACCCCATCATCTCAACCGAGAAATTCTTCGAAGTCAGCGGTTGCAACGACGCGACAGATGCACAGACAGACAGACAGACGTCCTTGGTGCACCTGTTACTTACTGCTATTCTTGATGTATGGTTGGGTGTGTGTGTGTGTGTGTGGAGACAGGGTGTGGAGGATTCACAGTTGGTGTACGTCCCGCCTCTGAGGGACCCGCCAAAGATCAGGGACCAAGTCCTACTCCTCAGAGGTCAGCCAGCCAGCCAGCCTGCGCCCCACACCACACCCAACACAGCCGACCTGCAGACATACCGTATGTGTTGGCGTGTCCCTTTCCAGGTCCCGACAAGGGCAAGACGGGCATTCTGTTGGGCGTTGAGGGCGACGAGGTGGCCAAGGTGAAGCGCAAGGGGGTCGTCAAGCTCGACACCAAGGTCGGCAGCATTCGGGAGCTCAAGGTGGTCCCATACGCATTCATCGCCAAGCGCAAGGGCGAGCAGGAGCCGGACGAAAGCCTCGCCATGAAGAGGGGACTGCTGCCAGGGGGAAGGTATGCAACCGTGGTCAGGGGGTCATGAGCGGTTCTGATGTCTCTCTCCGTCTCTCTCCGTGTGTGCAGGGGGTTACCAGGTTCGAAGATGAGGCCGTTCCCACTCGACCCAAGAGCGTGAGAGAGTGAGATAACGCGAGCTCTATTATCAGCGAGAGATAGCCCATTTGTCTTGGTGTATGGTCATCCGTGCCATGTACATTGTAGGCAATGAGGGAGCAAGCCCATCCATGGATGGATGGATGGATGCATGGTCCCACCGCCCGGGCCAAGCCCCACGCGACCGACTGCGGAATGGACTATGTGAACACACACGCACAGAGAGATGGATGGCTGGATGGAGGGTTGCATCAGTGTGGGTGTGTGGCCTATGTGACTGCGGCAAGGCAGCTGCACCGGATGAATTTTTGACCAGAGGGGGAGGGAGGACATGGACACACAGCGCCCGGCCTGTGTTTGCTTGCAGTTGTGTGTCCATCCATGCATTTTCGGCCAACGGTCTGTCCGTCTGTTTGTCTGGCAATGAAGTGTATCCATATGTATGTATACATCGCACACACTGAGTGAGAGAGCAGCCGCATGATGGACGGATGGATGGCACGTATCTACACGGCTGGCTGGATGGACAAGGCTGGATGGATGGGTGGCCAGTGTGTGGCCTCCACGAGGCGTGGGCGTGGTGTGGATTTCGATGCGTGTGCTTCCTGATGGGTGCGTGGATGGATGGATGTGTGTACAGACCTTCGTGTGACATGAATGAACGAAACCACCTGTCGTGGTACTTACTGGCCCTACACGCCGTCTTTAAAGGTGCGAGTCGTGTGCCGTGGAGTGAATGAATGCATTGGCCATGATTCACACCAGACCAAGTCGCATCACTCGTCCTGATCATGAGTCTTTCGGCACCACATGATAACACACACGACGGCATGCCACAGAAAAAGACGCACTCACCTCACCTGACCTCACCCAGGCGGACACCACCAAGGGCCGCCCCACAAAGTCACCACACAGCTAGCTGTACACCACACCCAAGGTACCTACCTTACCTTCCCCGCCACCCACATACTCAGTCTGGCCGGCTGCTGGCTGGCTGGCTGGCTGACCGACAGACAGACACGTGCCGTGCCACCAACAAGCAGGCACGTACGTCACTTAGTACTCTCACTCACATACATTACACACAGTTCTCACTGCCGCGACCATCGGTCACTCACGGGTCACTGGCAGTGAGTCTCGATTCCTCCCTCTGCGGGTTGGCTTGCGACAGAAGAAAGCTCCACACGTCGTCGAAATCCTTATCAGACGGCAGCTGCAGCGAGTCGATCATCACACGGTCGCGCACACTCGACTCGCTGCTGTCAGGTGCCACCAACCCGCTCGTGAGTCCGCCGATGTGCGAGAGGATGTTGGAAGAGGTGGATGGCGAATGGACAGATGTGGAGGGTTTCCTGTAGGCCACCTCGATGCGCTGGCTGAGCCCCAAGCAGGAGGTGCCCCGCCGCCTGAGGCGAGTCATGCTGATGACGGTGTTGAAGTGCACGACCCGCACCCGCACCCTCAGGAAGCACCGCAGTGACGGCACACACACGAAGGTTGGGCGCAGCACGAGTGTGGGCCGCAGGACCACCTTGTAGTAGAGGTGGGCCATGGCCATTGCGAAGACGACGACGCTGACGACTGCGAGGAAGGGGAATAGGAATGCGTGGGGGATGGGGATGCCGTAGACGTTCCAGTTGTGGAACGTGTCGGCGTAGTGCTGGTCCACCGTCGCCTTGACAAACATGACGCACCCCACACAGATCAACACCAGGCTGGGGATCAGCACTCGCCACCGAAGGCCGTAGGGATAAGTCGCACCAGTGTCGTCCAACGACAAATACTCTGCACACACACCACACACACAGCACACAGCACATCAGAGTACGCCCGTACACCGAGCGACGCTGTCACCACACCGTGGTATGCTCCTTGCGGGCGGTGTACGTGTCAGTGAGTAGTTAGTTACCCATCTCCGCGGGGTCCCATGGGAATGATGCGAGCGGGTCGGTTGCGCCGCTGTGTGTGCTGCTGGTGTCTGGTGGAGGGCTGGAGGGCGCCAGCTGCTGCTCGCCGCCTCCCATGTTGCGCTGATCTGGCGGCGCTGTCACAGGCACCAAAGAGCGGCCTTCTGCTCTCATCTGGAAAGCCGCAGTACTGGAGTCTATATCAAGGCAGATGCCGATCGCCAAGAGGCCACACGCGCGCCGTGGTTTTCCCTCCTCCTCCTTCGTTGTCCTTTTGCGAGCTTTGAAGCTGAGCTCGCAGACCTTCAGATTCATCGCGTTCCGGCAGGTGAACCAAGATGCGGTGTACACATCGAAAGGACTCATCGGAAGTGATGATCTGTCTTTTGATGTCCAGTTGCGGGAGATCTCTGCATTGGGCTGCTCTGCTACCGTTATGAGGCTTCGGGCGATCCTCTCTGCCTTCAGAGACCTCTTCTCCCCAGATCAGTTGTCAGCACGAGCAGCCAGGCCCGCTCTCCAGTGGTGCACTCGCGGCCGCCGCCACCAGAGCTCCTCTGTCCAGCAGCAGCAGCTGCCGCCACTGCCCCCCTCCCCTGCAGCTCTCACACGCCCATCTGCGAGCGGCATCGATGTCGCCACTCCCCCTGCTGCCACTCCTCTTTCGTCTGCGTTTGACCTGGAGGCCATGTACCGATGCGCCGTCGACGTCGAGAACGTCTTGGTGGCCTACACGATCCGGTTGCAGTGCCTGCAGGCCAATGTGGGTGTCGGTGTGGGCGGCCGGGGCGGCGGTGTGTTGGCTGTGGAGGCCCACGAGAGGGTGGACAAGGGGCGGAGGGGCGGCTTCACACACACCATTACGTGGCACATCACGGGGCGGGCCAACCAAAAGATTGCGGTCAGTGAGTGAATCAACATGAAAACATCAACCAGAGAGGGAGAAGAGGTTGTGGTGAGTGCAGGTGAGCGGCGAGGGTGCCAACAAGCGCGAGGCGCGTCGTCATGCGGCGAGGCAGGTGCTGCACAGGACATGGCGCATGCAGGGGTGCGAGCCCGAGGCAGAGGAGCTATCCCAGTTGACCCGATGGATGGCCAACAACCTCCGTCTGCGGCTGCGGGCCGAGGAGACCCAGGACCGTGAGATCAGCGGGGGTCAGCACGTGTGTCGCGTGCAGTGGCGCATCCCGACGGCAGACGAGGGGCTGGGGCAGCTGGAGGCCCACGGCCAGGGCACCACGGCGGGCGATGCGGAGGTCCAGGCTCTCAAGAACATGTACATGCAGGCCTGCAAGGTGGGCCGCCTGGAGGGAGGGAGGCAGGGAGGGAGGGAGGGGCACACAGCGGATGAGGTACTTATCGCTTTTGTTCGTGTTGCTGGCTGGTTGCTGTCGGTCGGTGGGTTCAGTTCAAGAGTGTGGTGTTGAGTGACATAGCGGTGCGGCAGACGGCAGACAAGGAGGAGAGGATGCGGCAGGAGGCCACACGGAAGGCCGCCAACGTGAGTGAAGCATGCCTACCACACAAACGAACGCACACGACACTACACAAGGCTTCCACACTTACACCCATTTCTGTGTCTGTCTGTGGGAATGTGTGTTGTGTGTGTTGTGTGTGTGAATCGCATCAGCATGCGGCCAGTCTGAGCAGCGGGATATCCCCCTCCCGTCTGTCGAGGAAGGACGCCGGTGAGGTCAACAAAGAGCACCAGCTCATCACACAAAGGCTGCAGATTGAGGTAACATACATAGACCAGGCAGGCAAAGAAACACAGGCGGGCCAGGCCCCATCTGTGCATACCCACCCAAATGTGGTGTGAGGTATCAGCCTGTGTGGAGTGAGGTTGCCCATGACGCCGGCTACCGCGCCCTCCTCGAGTGGAAGTGGAAAAACCTCGCCGGAAGGACCAACGCAGTCAGTCTGTGACCGACATACACACAGACAGGCAGGCCGCACTTTCATGAAACGCATACACCCCTTTGTTGTGTGTGCGGCAGATGACAGCGTCAGGCATTGGGGGTTCCAAAGCAGTGGCGCGCGCCGAGGCAGCCATCAAGATGCTGCACCAAACAGGTGCGCGTGGACGGAGCCTTTTCTCTCTTTTTTGTGCACATGGTCTTCATATGTGTGTGCGTGTCGGCAGGTCTGCAGGCGGCGATCGACCCGCAGCATCGTGCAGAGGCGACGGCGATAAAGGAGGCACTGCTCAGACAAGTGGGCTAGTGCGAGTGGCCCGTAGATAGGCAAAAAATGTGTGTGTGTCGTTGGATCAGGACATGGCCGATGCGGTCAACCGCACGTGCAGCCTCATCCACGGCAGCCCACCACACACCTGGGCCATCTTCCTACCACACGTACGCCGCAACCCCAACACAACACAACACAGGGATGGACGGCATATGACTCATACTCGCACCAACAAGCCTGCCTGCAGGTGTGGCGGATGTTGCTGGCGCACGTGTCGTTGCTGGAGGCCGATGCACTGCCCAACGGACCGCTCCCACCGCTGGTGCAGAACGTCATGGTCGCCATCAAGACGGCCGCAAACGACCGTATGCATCGAGACAAGGCAGGAATGAATCGGCAGGTGTGAGTATCCCGGGGTGTGTGTGTGTGTGTGTGTGTGTAGGTGACGGTGGTCGTGTGATGGGAGTGGACGTGTGGGAGTCTTTGCTGGACGAATGCCCCGCCATATCGGCCAGGAGCACCTCGCTGGCAAACAGGGTCACAGCAGCGTGGACGGACAGGAGTGTGTGGAGGTCTGCCATACTGTATGAATGTGTGGCTGTGTGTCTGTGTGTGCAGGTGCTTGACCAGCTTGTGCACGTGCCGTTCTCCCCCGACTGCTTCCCTGACCTCCACGCATGTACGGACAGATAGATAAAGGCGCATGGGGGCAGTCAATACAATACCAGCCCGGCCCGACGTGTGTGTGTGTGTGTGTGTCCCACAGATGACTACTTCCGTTCTATGAGGGGGCTGATGGCCTTCGAGAGGACCGAGGAGCTGCAACAGGTACGTACGCCTCGTTCTGCATTCATGTCGCTGCATGCTCCGCGTGTGTGCATTCGCTCAGCGTGTTGACGAGAAGAGGACCTTCTACCCCGACGCGTGAGCGAGCCATGTTACGTGCATCTCCGGTGCGTTGTCTATCACTTCCCGTGTGCGTGCGCGTGTGTGCAGTTGTCTGGTGATGAGTTGCGAGGAGGCGGTGTATCCGATGGTGCGGCTGCACACATTCATACAGGACGGCACACAGCTCAGGAAATTCGCCGAACAACCACTCAGGGTATCGTAGCGATGACTGACTGCACACGTGTACATCCGTGTATGTGACATGCGCATGGTGTCTGTGTGTCTGTGTGTGTGTGTGCAGGAGGGAGACATTTTGTGTCTGATGCCCACCAGGGCCAAGACACAAGACCCATGGGTGAGCGAGAGAACCGTCATGTCTGTCATTCATGGCTCCTCTCTGCCTGTGTGTGTGTGTGGTGTATGTCAGGGTTCGTGTTTCTTCTGTCGTGTGACATCTCTGGTCAAGGACGGCGGGAGTCTGGTCGTCAACCTCAAGTGTGCGTCAGAGGAGCCATTCTGGGACCCTGCCCTCATCAGTCACGACGAGTACAGTGTGTACCACATCGCGTCGCACGTCTCGTGGCTGCGCATGACGCAGGCCATCAAGGCACTCGCCGCCAAGAGAATGCCGCCACTGGTACGGACCTGTGTGTCTGTGTGTATTGGCACATCCCCTTTGTATGTATGTTGCCTCTGTCCGTCCGATGGTGCGTGCAGCAAGGCGAGCCGCCCTTCCGCTATCAGCCTGAGATGCGCCTCCTGCTCCTCTCTCCCACACACCAACACGCACCTACCGTCGCACAAGGTAGGTACCTAGGTCCCTGCACCACACACACATTCGCACACACCCATCAGTGCATCTGTGCGTACGTGTGTAGGTGTGAGCATGCCCGAGGATCTGCGTCAGCACATGTCGTACGAGGGTTTCAGGGGCCACCCCTTCTGGGAGGGGCGGAGCAAGGACGGCGCCTCCTTCGAGACACAGCTGTGGCAGAACATGCACAACAACACTCGCAGGGAGACGCTCAAGGCCGGCAAGGAGATGCAGACGGCGGCCAGTGAGATCAGCGACCACCTGGCTACACATGAGGAGGCCTCGACTGCAGCAGCAGCATCGGACGAGGGTGCTCCCCTGCAGTGCCCCGAGGGTCTGTTGCGCAATCTGGGAGTGAGCATGCCGCTGACGGAGCCACAGCAGCGGGCCGTGCAGTCCGCACTCACCAATAGACTCACTCTAGTCCAAGGTACATACGCACCCCCCCCC